GTATGTGTCACAATAAAATGAAAGGCAGCAGAAAAAAGCAAAAAATGTAATATCTTCCGCTTTTTTACAAAAAATACATTCAAACATTAATAATCTACAAATAACAAAAACAAAACAAAAATGTGTCATCTCCTTCTCGAACAACAATTCATATGAATACACATTATGGGATTTCATATTTGTTTAACACACCATCTTCCATCATTATCTTAATTATAAAGATTGATCTGGCATTTTTAACATCACTCTCCAGATTATTCCATAATCTTATCCCTTGGCTCGAAGGTACATCAGTCCTTCAAACTGGTTCGAAATTTAGGTTTTATAAACATCCCTTGAGATTGTAACAACTCTCTTTCTTAACAACATTTAATTGGACATTGAAGGTTAAAGGTGTTTTTATGAGCCCTATACATAACCAATAAAAATAGTATAATCAACCAAACCATAGAACTTCAATAAMTTCAGTGGATAAAATAATGTATTTGATGGGAGACTGTAATGTTTTGATAATTCTTACAGCTCTTTTCTGTAAAATAAAAATAGGATTTGTAATTGTTTTGTATGCTTTCCCCCAAACATCAACACAATAGAACAATTATTGCATTAAACAACATATACAGTGCTTTATCGCTGAATAACTTCCTTACTTTGTACAGTGCTGCAATAGTTTTAACTGTTTTTATTTTTAAATAATTTATGTGAGGTTTCCATTTCAGTTTTTCATCAGTATCCAAAGACTTCACCTCACTGACTCCACAAATCTCAACGCCAGCAACTCTAAATGGAACATCAATAGTTCTCTTTCTATTGTATCGTGTAATTAGTTTTATCCATGTTTAATGATAATTTATCAAGTTTAAACCATGTTTGTATTGTTACAAATTCTAATTTGTTCTTTATATTTACCCAAACAAAAAAATGTGGTATCATCTGCAAATAAAACACATTTTAAAAGTCCTGACACATTTACCAAGTCATTCACATATAAAATAAATAACTTTGGTCCAAGTACAGAACCTTGAGAAATGCCACATGTGATATTATAGAGTTCAGATCTTACATCATTTATTTGTACAAACTGTTTCCTATATTTTCAAATAGCTACTGTTGGTCCTGTAATTCAATATTTATTCAGCTTTTCAAAAAGAATACTGTCAATAGTGTCAAATGCTTTCTTTAAATCAACATAAACACAGTCTGCTTTTGATCAACAGCAGTTGTTATTTGTTCAATCAATTCCATGAGAACCATAAATAAACACACATAAACAAATACCATAAATAATTTAGAAAAAATACTTACCATATTATTTCTTCTTATATGGTAAGATAATCCACACCAATTTATGATAGTATACACTAAAAAGCCACTTGTTTAAAATTAAAGTTGTATGATTTTCCTTGTACCTTGTTGTAGCGCAAGTTTAAATCAGTTGGGCTCCTTATAAAGTGTCAATTGAAAACATTACAGTATGTCAAGGTGCTAAATGTCTCCAAAAATATAAAAATAAAATCAAATATACAAATTAGATCATTTGTCTTCAGTTTACTTAACCCCCCAGTAGGTGGGTTATCTTTGCAATTAACAATAATGTACGTACACAATGTCTATCAATATGCAAAACTAGACAACAGAGGTTAGGACGAAACAAGTATTAAGATGTTGAAGTTAGTTAAAATAACTKTGTAAAAATCCAACTTTTGCATGTGGCAGTTTTAGACAAAAAACACAAGTACATTAATCAAGACTTGAAGAGGTGCTTTCCATTAATAGTCAAAACCCCAACCATGTCAGTTYGGTTTGTGTAACAGAGACATGCAAGAGACACACCCACCATGTGCAACATTAAACAGTTTGTACTTTCAGTCCAATCACATTGAAAAAATGGATGTTTGGGTGCAGTAACATTTATTTAATTATTCGTTTAAGTTTTACAAAAAAGTATCAAAATTTCAAAACTACTAGAATTTACTAAATAAACAATACACATTTGTGTAACAGAGACATGCAAGAGACACACCCACCATGTGCAACATTAAACAGTTTGTACTTTCAGTCCAATCACATTGAAAAAATGGATGTTT